GTAATTTGCATTAATTCATCACTCTTGAAAATCACAGAATGTGTTCTGAAATTACAAAATCACATGTCAGATGTGACAGGGACACAAAAAACACTGGACCCCCAATTTGTAGAATTACCCTAATAATATGAAGAAAATATTTACCTGGATTTTGGTTGAATCTGTGGCAACTGTTCCATCAATTACTAGTTCTGTTGACATAATGTGCTCCAAGAATTGATTCAGTTTCTCCTCATCATGACTTCCATTTGACCCTGATGTCTCGATTAAAATGTAGAATGGATACTCTCTGTTGAGAGGATTCCTAAGGCCCAAATACTTGGTGACATACTATGGAAAAAAATGCGGGGGAGGGGGAGAATGTAGTTGTAAGAGTGAGCACTTAAATAACGGGACCTCGCAGTTCTAAACAATCCGCAATACATTCAAATTGAACATTAAGAAACTATGTAATACTGAATCATCATTTTAATTTTCAGTCACTTTTCAATACAAGTGATTCAAACCCTTTCTAAACACGCATTGGGTTAACAGATTTTGCACATTGTGATTGATCAACACATTCCAAACTATTTTCAAGATGTATTTTTGCGTTGGGGAGATGTTATTTATATATTACGGGTTTGACCTTACCCAACGTATATTAATAAGCACTGTATGCTCAGTGCTTGTCCGAGAGCTTGCTAAAAAAACCTAACAAGCTTACTTGGGTGGGACTCAAACCCACGACCTCCTGTTTACTAGTGCAGATGTCTTAACCACTCAACCACCGGTAAACCTGTAATACATGTATATAATTAACATCTCCCCAACGCAAAAATACATCTTGAAAATAGTTTGCGGTACCCGTTGCTTCATTTGACTCGGACCGGCCAGCCGACCAAGGCAAGCTCGGTGGTCGAGTGGTTAAGACATCTGCACTAGTAAGCAGTAGGTCGTGGGTTCGAGTCCCACCCAAGTGAGCTTGTGACGTTTTTTCAGCAAGCTCTCGGACAAGCACTGAGCATACAGTGCTTATTAATATACGTTGGGTAAGGGCAAACCCGTAATATAAAATTAACATTCCAAACTCTTGGAGGCCTACTATTGTGAATTCCTTGTATTAAGCCAATTTAAATCGCAATCCACCTTGAGCTGAAGTACACCATCACCGGCAGAATAAAAACAGGCTGGTACGAAGTTTTCCAACCGGGTTCTTGCACGTGTTTTGTGTGCACATGAAGACCATACATTCCAGAATAAAATCACTGCACGTACTCAGCGTGCTCAGCATCACACAACCATAGACTTGTGCCCCTATTGGTGAGTTTGTACCACAGGACTGTCAATTTCATTTAAAAACGTGTCCTTTTTTGTTCCCGCTTGGAGCGCATACCTCGGACCATGGAACAATTTACTTTACGGCTTTTAAGGTTGCTTTGGTTTTTAAACCCTCCCAGATAGGATTGGGACAGCACACACCATGGAATAGTCTCAATAACACGTAAAATCTTACCGACAGAGTTGTTTGATCCATAAACTCAAATGCAGACAAGATTTCAACCAGCTGTGACTTGCTTTCCTTGAATGTATCAAGAACTTTGGAAAAACTTTCACAACCTGCCCAAAAATATGAAAAATGGGGGAAAACATTCAGTTTCTTGATCACTTCAACAGAAACATTCTGAGTGAAATTGAGATGTAGTCTTATGACTCCTAGTGCATATCACACACAGTACTGATTTGATGAGGATTTTCTGCATGATAAGGTCAATTACTTTGGTGAAGAATTTCAAGTAACTATTGAGTTCCAATAATAATCCACCTACCGAATAATGCAACATTAACAGATTGAGGACGTGGAGGGCACAAAATTGACACGCCAGTAACAACTCCAAGTGTACCCTCAGAGCCAATGAACATCTGCTTGAGATCATAACCAGTGTTGTCTTTGCGTAAGGAGGAAAGACAGTCAATTATACGTCCATCTGCAAGAACCTAATGTAAAGGATAAGAAAAGCACTCAGGAATCTCTCTGAGGTCTTGGTATTGGTCCCTGTAGAATTTTTGTACCCTGACGCATATAACTGTAAAATGATGACCCGAAATTTACTACTTTTGTTTGATGGCATGACCTCATGAGACAAAATAATCCCTGAAGATTTAAAACCTTGACACTTACTGCTTCAATTCCAAGTACTGTTCCTCGTAGGCTACCATAACGTAGTAACCTGATCCCTCCTGCATTAGTAGACACATTGCCTCCAATCTGACAGCTTCCTTTAGCACCAAGGTCCAAAGGCATTGTGTAGCCATATGCTTCTATATAACTGTCGAGTTTCTCCAAAATACAACCTGACTGGCATACCAGAACACCTGCAAAATAGGACAATTTAAACTTCATCTTTGACAAACAGCACCATACTGTACACATCAATTAGAATTCTGCAAGTACATGTACGTAGAGAACTAAGATTTTTCTTAGTGAGGAAAACTTTGTGCCATGGCACCAGAATAGGAATGCTCACACAGATTTTAAGTTTAACATGTTTAGTTAGCATGGTTTCTAAGATGTACCCACTTATATGCAGTATGCACAACATAATTTACTTAAATGATCTTGACTTATTTCCATACTCAGAAAATATGCACAATGCAATTAAACCCAAAACACCGTGGACCCTGTTACAGAAGGCAACAAGTGTTTTTATACCACAGTGGCAAACAATACAAAAGCATTTACTGCAGAAAAATTGATTTTTCCGAAAATGTTTTCAACAGCAAAGTATTTAGTTAAAGAAATGCAACTAAATTGAATAATTGGTGGGAACTACAACTACATCTCTTTTCTTGAGATTGAAAATTTGTGAGCCTTTTAAAAATGGTGAAAGCTGTAACCTTTTAACAATAATTACGTATGTCAGGAGAAGCATTAAAAAGTTTAAATGTTCAAAAGTACATTTTTCAAGTTGCGTAAAATAACAATTTTGTGATTGGCCCTTTATACAGCAGACATAATCTGAAGTGACAAACCTGACAGCTCATCAAACTGAATAACATTGTTCATGAGAGATGTTGATAATATGATCTCATCAAAGACAGGTACACTTCCTCCAGCCAGTCCAGTATTGCCTCCTTGAGGAACTACAGCCAAGTTATGGGCGTGGCAATATGCCATTATTTGAGAGACTTCATCGGTAGTCTTTGGTCTCAAGAGAACTTGACTTGCACCTACATGTACCATTAAGAAATAATAAAAGATGGGAAAGAGTTCCGTACACAGACATCATTTGACACTCTGTTCACAAACCCTATGAGACTGGTCTTGAAAGTTGTGCTAAGTAAATGGTTCAATACATTGTATTGCCACCGTTAAATTTTATTTTTTAAGACACATTATCACTTTCGGATGGCTTATAAACCACTGGAGGGGAAAAGTAGTGATGTCTGTATATGGAACCCTTAACCCTAAGCATGGTGATGTATCAGTTTTTGACAGAGATGGGTTTTGTCTTCAGGACCATCACTTGTTATTGTGCAAATTTCTTCCTCCATCATTTTCTCGAATTTAGATGTAAGTTTGCTGTGTGATCAGTGCTCTTACAAAACTTCTGTCGTGCTGTGTGTGTACTTTTTTGCATAATCTCTTGAGTTAAATTATCTGGTACTCTGGAGTAAAACTTTGTTACATATACCTCTTAAAGATCCAAGCCAATCAGTATTAGGGGAGATAAGGTCCTCTTCATCAGTGATAACTCTCTGCGGAAGAAGCTCCTGAAAGAATGCTACATCATTCTGAGTGACCTTTGCAAATGGACCACGTACAAGGCTAGGATGTGATTGGGATGTAAGAGGCACTTCACGAACTATCTGATGAGTAGCAGATGTTGCTAGATGTCTCCACAACAACAGTTTATGTTGAGAGCTATCGTAGGAACTGTAGATACATGTAGCTTTGACAGGTCCAGTATTCACTTGTCTTGTACCAGCAGCTAAGCTTGCTTCCGTTGTAGGAATAAAAAGTGAGGAATTGGAGGGCTTGACGTACGTGTATGTGACCAAAATCCTCTGAATGTTGCTGTAAGAAATTCTCAAAGTTCTGAGTGACGCCATTTCTTATAGCTTCTCAAGGCAACCAAATCAAATGGGACAGCAGATCTATCGGAACCTGAATAAAAAATAATGCAACAAATAAGAAAATGGAAAATGGTATTGTATGACCGTCATGACCTGTAAGCTGGTACCATCGGGATGCGCGACATGCACAGCACTTTGCAGTGGTGAAAGATTGCAAGATCTTAGGAATTCCCCGCCTCCAAAATTGGTTTGCCCAACGCATGCGCAATGTAATAAACACAAACGACATGACCAGTACAATTATCGTCGGGTGGAAAGGAGAAATTGGTGGGCAAAAATCTTTGTTCAGAAAATACATGTACATGGTCTCATGCTTTGAAACCCTTGTGATGCCCTTTTTAGTTTTAAGAGCTATAGGCAGAAAGAGTTCCATATATGGGGACCGTAAATTTTGGGACCCATCCCTAGTTTTACTTTCTTTACTCATAAAGGTGAGCCCTAAGAGAGAGAGCATTGCTCAGGCAATGTCTCCTGTCATAACCCTATTTGGGGTACATTTGAAAGAGTAAATAAAGAGTAAATTGGAAAGAGAAGAAATGCAACTTTCTTGCCTTTGTCTGCCAATGTAAATTCACGATCAACTTGACACACATGCACACGTATGCCATACTGTGTGACCTTTGGCTGTTCTCTTCAATACCTGAATACTCTTACTCCCTAATCTGCCTTGTCAACAAATCAGGGATCTCCTTTCTAAGGAAACTTTCCAGTAACCAATTAGAGATATTCTACCAAGCAGGCTTTACAATATCACCATGTGGATGGTTGCGTGCACGGTTTGACTGTAATCTTCAATTTACTTTTACTCCCTTTCCCCTCATCTCAACCAATCAGAGATCAGCTTTTGCATTAAATGGAAAAAATGTTGCATCCTGACTCCACTTTTCTCATCATATATCATCTCAATAAAAGTCAGTCATTACAGAAATGCTGGAAAGACACGAATTCTGGACTGAGAAACATTAACCGATGTTGTTGGGGAATACTTAGAAAATTCTCATCACTCCCCATAGACTTTGTACACTAAAGTGGAGTTAGGATGCAACATTTTTTGCCATTAAACTTTTCAGTTACCCATAAGACTAAGAGACACTCCATCAAGCATGTTTTGACATTATATCCATGTTTATTTTCAGTGGACATGGTGGATGCATGCGAGCGACCAGCTGTGTTGTTTTTGAATACAGTTGATCAAATTCCCCTCCTCGTAGAAAATTCCCTCACTTACCGACGTCCACTCTAGTTCTGCTCCATCGAGCATGACGAGCAGACGTCGGACCCCACAGTTCAGAGTACACTTACCCTACATGCACTATTAGACTATGTAGTGGCTTGAAGGGCTTGACTCCTCAAGGTTTCATGAAGGAGGCTAACATTAACATGGATAGCCAAAAAAACACAAGGTTAACATTAAAGCTAGCTCCTGGCCGGGTGGGGATACCATGTCAAGAATTATGAAGCATGAGCTACGAAATAAATACACCAAGTTTACCTCCACCAACATGTCTTCATTATCCAGAGGGCCAGGTTCATGTACATAAAGTATGTACCTTAATCCTGTGGAAATACATGTAGGTTACATGTACATGACCTGTGAAATATTGACCCACCAACCTATCATCTGCTACCTATCCATGGCCAGCTAGCTCTCAAACACAAACAACGTATCTATAGGATCGGACTACGGGCGTTGCAAACTACCTGTTATTACAAAACATGAACAGGGAACACGACCAGAGGAGGCGGGACTTGATTGCGTATCAGACTTCGTTCACCTCATGCAGCGCCCTCTTCTTGAGGCCACACGGTTACGTTTGTTTGTCGTCGGGCCTGCGGTACATACATGACTCCGATCCTAGGCGTATGCCAGGCACGAAATAGGTCGAACGAATCTCCCAGGCATGTCGTGTACAAGCCTATGACATTTCAGGTACCTTCATAGGCGGCTTGGACTTAGATGCGCACTATGGGAACTGGACCACACCCTTGCCGCCGACCGGCCGGACGCACAAGCAAATACAAATATGGAAGCAGATGAGCCTGGGCAATCTGTAGCAAAAAGCGCTACACCATTGACTTGTGCACAAACTCCCTGCTACAGTGCCACAGGGTGGGAAGGGAGAAGTCTGGGGTGGAAATCTGTAGCAAAAAAGTGCTACACCCATGATTGACTTGTGCACAAACCCACTGCTGCACTGTGCCACAGGGTGGGAAGGGAGAAGTCTGGGGTGGAAATCTGTAGCAAAAAAGTTCTACACCATTGACCTGTGCACAAACCCACAGGGAAATTCTAAAGTCATTAATGCGCATGCGTGGGGTTTGTATCCAGATCTTTGATCCGGGAAGGAATGGGAATTTTTCTAAAAATGAAAATTCAAATCCTCCTTTTTTTGTGCTTTAATTATAGTTTGTGCTCAAGGATCTGCAGTTTTTATCACTGCGTAGTTCAGCTGCTTCTCACGATGTTGTCACTTTCGAGCATCTTTGCAATAATTAGTATTACTGTTGTCATTTTTTTTCTTCCGTAAAAGAATCCTTACTCCTCAAAAACTAAGTGAACAAGGTGGCTCCAAGGGTCAACTTTTCGGACAGACCACTGGAGAGGTGGCCAATATGTTTTCAAAATGTCGGTGTTCTCCATTTCTGGGGATAAAAACGCAACATGTCAGGTGAGGACAAGTTCCCCACACACTAGGAATGGGATACTGTATGATGATCCACTAAAAATAGTTTGCAGAGGCTATAGCTCCTATTGACTGTGGTGTGGGGTTTGTGCAGTCACACACACTCACTTTGGAAGCCAGTTCATTTCAGAGGCAGCTTCTATGCTTGCTAAGAAACCCTCAGAAAAATGAACCCACTTCCCAAGACAATAAAGATCTCCTTTTCAAATCCTTCTTTGTCAATAAGTTTCATTTGTTGTACAAAATTCTTACACATGCATTTCTAGAACAAACACATCTCCCTTTTATTTATTTCCATGTCCGTGTTTTAATTTACTAAAAAATAAAGAGAGCTTACTGTGGCCCTGACTTTAACCCGCACGAAAGAATAATCTATTGAGCAAAAATGGGTAAGGGTTCACCATAAGGACACAACAAATTCACCTTTGCAGTCGTTATAAGCCATTAAAAAGCTGAATTTTGTATCCCCAAAAGTCAAATTCACACGTAGAAGTACTGAAGTAATTTGGGCCAGTCTCATTGGGTTTGTGCACAGGATGTGATGTTCCTACATGTAAATATCAATTTTCCTGAAAATGTTCACTCATTAAGAAAAGTATGTTTATGCCTTGGTTTACATTCAAGTTCAATCTGTGTGTAGATTCTTACAAAAAATGTTTCAACTAGAGAAGCCAACCATGCAATGCTGCAGAAAATCCAAGATGTTATTCAAATCTTGTAAGTCAATCATGCCCCTGCTCAGGGTAGTCAGTCTGTTTTCCAAACATGATTCTTTCACCACAGCATTAATCTATTTCAAATTAATTTTAATTTTGCTCAGTACAATCCTTGTGTGAAGTCGTCATGAATAGATTCAGGCAGAATCAGCTTCAAACTAAACATATGAAGCTTCCAGTTCCTCTGATGATTGCCTATCATCCCTTCCATCAACTTCAGTCTTAGTGACAATGTCCTCAGGTCTCAGCTCACCAGTGGATATCTTTTTCTGGGTCCAAATGTACTCCAAAAGGCTGTTCATGACAGCTGCAACCTCATTCACTTCTTGCATGTTGTCCACTGAGTAAAGAAGCTCATTGCCTGCTGGTTTGCTACTATTTTTGATTTTCAGAATTGGAACTTTCCACTGCTCCTGAAAATCTTGAAGTTCTCTCGACGTTATTTCACTGTTACTGTACAGATCATATTTTGTTCCAACAACCATGCGAATGGCATGTTCCCCAGATCGAGCTGAGTGAGACATCTGTGACTGAAGATCTTCAAAGCTTTGTCTATCAGTGAATGAGAAGAGATTGAGAATGGCATCAGCTCCTCTCTTGCACGCCTAGAAAGAGAAGGTACAAACAAAAAAATTTAACCCGCATAAACTGCAGACTTTCTAAAAGAAAAAAAATCCTTGTGCTATTTACACTCAACAGTAAAGGCATTTCAGAAGAAATGGCAGCATCGCAGCTGAGTACAGTTTGGAGAACTTCACAAACAGTTCACCAATCTGACTTACTGGCAGAATGTGTTCAAACTTTCTTATTGCATTATCTCCTGCATCCCAGAACTGAAGACAAAAGAGCAGCACCTTATCAGGGTGAAGCAGTTTGACAGGCCAGTACACTGTAGATGTTACAATTCCTGTGGAAAAAAACAAATGAATGATTATTAAAACTACAGAAATAATTGGAAGAGCTATCAAAATTCATTACCATTTCTTTAAATATAAATAACAAAGACCTGATTGAACTTATCTGTGTAATCACAATTCTTGAGTCTACATGTAACATGTATGCATACATTTCTATGTGAAAAGATGGTCAAAGTTGGCACCGTTGAAATTGATGTATATACATTGCATGAGCATTTACACGTACCTGGAGTTTCACTGTGTGTTGTAGGAACTGGAATTCCTACAAGCTTGGCTACTGTACTCGTCTTTCCAACTCCTGCCTTTCCACTGAGAAACACTTTGTAAGAGACAAGTTCCGGAATCAAATGTGGTGGCAAAGATGGCCTTTCGAGGGAACCTTTTGGAAAAAGATACACGATCAGTTTGAAAAATGTGCCATTTTTAGCCTATATTAACCAATGCCATATTTCACATGGTGTATAAACTGGTGACTACATAGGGATCAAATTAAGTGAATGCAACAAACACAAACATGGCAACTACATAATGTACACAGTCTGAGTAACTTGGACTCTATGAATCACCTTTTTAAACATTTGGACATGGTCAAACTATTGCCCGACTATGTCCAACTGTTCAAAAAGGTGATTCGTAGAGTTCAAGTTATTTGGATTAGGAACTACAGGTACATGTATTTCAAGCAATATGCATTTTTACTTGAGGCTTATTTCAAGATTTACCTGACGTCTTGATCCATATCATTTTTTGTTATTATTGCAATGGGTGATTTGAGATACTGGACATACCATAATAAATAATGATACATGTAGGTTCAAGACAGTTGTGAGTAATACTATATTGCTGACTTTTAGGCCGAGTGACTAGGACCGCGAAAATTGTCCTTAATAAATAGTAGGGTCCTGATAAGACCATCTCATGGACATTTGAAAACTAACAACCTAACAAAAACATCCCATTTCACCCTAATGGCAAAAATACCAGGGGGCCTACACGTACTACTTACATGTACATGTACTTCTAGTACTAGACAAGCCACTCAAACATGTCAAACAGTTGTGTCAAAGTAAATTGAGTTTGAGAATCATGTTGGAGGTAAGACATGTACATGTAGCCTAGTCCCCGTCTTGTGTTTACTTATGATGTGGGACTAGGCCTAGGCTTAAATGTATAATACCGCACCACTCAAACCTGTCAAAAATACACCTCTGAAATCACTGGTTATGTGGCTACGAGTTGGAATTCTCCATGAAAAGGGTGTCAGTGTGACATTTCGACATCGTACTATCCTGACTATAACAACTGAGCTCCTGGCTGACTAGCCGAGGGTGGAGGTAGGCTACTTGCTGAATTGTGAAGTAGGCCTAGAGTAGCACGTCAGGTTAGCATGGTCAGTACTGGACATGCTGGAGCTGGAGTGGAGTAAAAAGAGTGGAGCCTGGTTAGCGTGGCCTATCGCCTACCATATATTCTTCTTTTCCCTTTCCTGACAATACTTGCGAAATACTCTCTTCCAATGGAGGTTTTGAGCCAAGTGGAATCGAATTGGTCTCCATAAAGTTTCTCTAAAGCCATAGCAATTGTACACTTAGGCACACACATAAATGAATGTGCACTATATCGATATCGCCAGTGGCAGCGGACATGACAGGCTCTTTCTAGTATTACTGGCTTAGTTTATATTTGAATATGTTTCGATGACTATTATCGAGTCCATGGATGAAGAGCCACAAGGAATGGGCAAATAAATTAAAACTGTCGTCTTTTTTCTTTCAAACAGAATTTATATTTTGATAAGAAATCGACAGATTACGGTAGGAACTGTACGTATTATGTGTTCCTTCCGATCCTCCATGGTTAAGAGTTCCGGTTTGACAGACTCAAAGATCGTATTCCATATGAAGCGGCGCTATACGATCTTTGGCAGCCTTAGCTCACTACATGTAGTAGCTGACTGAAATGTGAAAGGACAGAAAAACCGGTTAGCTGTTAGTGCAATGGCCAACGTACGGGAATCATGTCATTGTGTGCGCATACAAGATCTACCAGAGGAGATTTTGGAGAGAATTATGTCCTTTCTTTCGCCATATAATGACTGCAAAAATGCGTCGCTGGTATCGAGAAAGTGGCACCGCTTGATGCAAGGTACACCGTGCAGCCAGCTAGCTGGGTAGCCCGTTTTACTGCAATCTCATATTTGTTGTCCTCCCTCCGGAGTTGTTCATCTTATAAATGGATTTTCATTCAAAGGTACATCCTCTCAGGATGGACCAATGAAGTACTCAAAATGGGCGGCTGGGCCTGTGGGTAATTCCAGAAATGGGGTTCATTACCATTAGCACCCAGTTTAATAAGGAAACAAAGTCCACTTTCTCAAACTAACTAACCAACATTTTGACCTTAAGGAACCATTACTCAATCCTGATAGGTATAGTTTTGTAAATTTTGACAATATTTAAGTAAGAAAACTTCAAATCTTTTACCCAAGTTTGGCAAAAGACAACCACACAGGGTACAGTCCACTAATTCAAGCCCCATTGAAAACTGTGTAAAATCAGCACTGTTCAGGGCCCAATAACATGCAAGCCAACATCCCTGAGATTTCTGAAACACAAATGAAATGCTTGTCTGGTCATCAATCTTTCAATTTCTTTCCA